CTGCTGCCAGGCATCTCCAAGTATCACACCTGAGGAAGCATGCAGCTCCTTCCCACCTCACCCATACCACCCTGACAGATTGCAAAGCTTGGAGTCCTTCAGCGCTCCCTTACTTTAAAACGCTCTCGGACACTTTGATCTAGTTGCAAGCTTCCAACAAACACAGCTCTGAGGAATCTCTCTGAACAAAGCACTCCCTGTAGTCCCCGTCCCTCAGCAGCCAGCATGGCACAAGCACAGCAGGATGAAACCAAGCGTGCGAGCTGCCTGCAAGAGCCTCAGCCCCTCACTAAAGGAGGAGCTCGCTATGCTCATCGTTCTAACTCGTGAATCTGCTCCTTTCCACACAGAGCATAATCTGCTTATTCTAAATGACTCATCCCTAATTTCAAATGTGTTCAGTTTACTTTTAGTTTGCTTAACTCTAAGTTCTCACCTGACGGCTGCACAAAAAACCTCCTAAGTCACAGTCATTGCCTCTGGATCACGCTCTCTCCCAGACCCCAAACTCATTACAACCACTCAGCCTGGGGATGCCAAGACAATCCCTGCTCTATATTCACCCTTCAAACTCCTTTGACTTTTTCCTGTTGCTGCCCAGCTTCACATGAATTACTCTATTGCTTTCTCACTACTAAAACTACTACGAGCTTCTGCTGTGTGCAGTTTTGCTTCCTGTAGCAGGAGCAAGTAAATCAGCTGATTGACTTTCACCACAATACAGACATGCAAGACAGCCTAGAAAAATACGTAAGGAGAGTAATTTAGGGTGTAACCATAATGAGACGGAAGCAAAGGCACAGATCTGCAGTGAAACACCATTTATCCCCAAGGGTGTGATCATCCCCAACATGGCAGCAAGTAGGAGCCAAGTCACTGCTAGCACAGTTGTCAATTTATGCAAGTTAGCCAGCAGTCAAGTTTAAACCAAGGATTTAGAGTCGACATTCAGCAACAGGTTGAGTTTGTTAGGAAGCTGCATCTGCTTCAAGCAAATGCCAGACCATTATGTTGATTATCATAGTGGACTGAAGCAGGTTTGTGATGCCCTTTAGAAATTCTATGCAAAGTTATTCCAATATAAAACCAGTAAGACCTTCGGCTGCTCAGACTGGAAAACTGATATCACAGATCCTGTGCTTTTATTCCCTCGTAGAAAAAGAGATACCATCAAGCAGCTGAAATGCTTGTCAGTAAGAATGCTATTGCAGACACTGCCGTTCCCTGCGTATTGGAGCTTTCCACATAGAACAGCTCAGCTCTAGTTCTTAATCTGACTGCCTCTCAGGAAAGGGAATGGATTCACATCTGCCACACAAGTCTTTGAAAACTTTATGTAGATAAGAAATGAAGGATATATCACGTGTTTCAAAGACAGTGGATTTTACAAAAAGGGCTCGCTCTGGACAAAAAATATTCGCTAATGAAGTAACTCAAATCTTTAAAGAATTCAATTCCAGTCCTGAATCAGCCCTAGAGAAGGAACTGCATGCCAGCTTTATCCTTACACAGTTTCCTTGTTGGCATGGGGGCAGAAGTAGCAGAGGAAGAACAAAGAGTTGTTTTCCCAGGAAATTAAAAAAAAAGTCAGCTTGAGAGTTAACTATTTCAGCAGCATACTTTCCACCTTGTCAGATTTGATGTAACACAGCAGAACTGAGCCAGACAGGTAAGGAAGCCAGCACCTCCAGCTCCCTGAACAGGCAGCAGGACGAGCGCCAGATGCAAGTAGTTTCTGCAGTATCTATAATATAAACTGCATTCTTGTGGTGAAATCAGGCAGGGATGAATTATCTGACTCGATACAATGGAAAAAAAAGTCCTCCTAACAGATCCATGTTCTGGTAGTTCCAGTTATGTCTTGGGCTTTTTTAAAATTTTATTTTATGCCCAATAGAAACAGTACTTCTAAAAGCAATGACAACAGGATTATGAGTTTCTTATGGTAGTGATTGTGGTTTCTCCAAGAATTGCTAGTTTCCTCTGGTTACTATTATACAGAATCTACTTCTTTTTAATGCTGAGTATCCATTTGTAGGTTCAGAATGAACAGGTTAGTTATGTTCAGGACTGTACTACAAATGCACTTCTATTTTGAATTCAGATTAAGAGATTTAAGAGACTGCCTGTCGCAAGTATTTGTGACTCCTATACAGTGGGAGGTTACTAGCAAAGAACAAAATACTCAAGACAAATGTGCTCAAGCAACAGCCCCCCAACATAGCTACTCTTGCCTAATACAACAGCCCTTCAACAACTCAAAACAATTTGATCCTCCCAGTCTCTAGGGCATCCAAATGCCCCTGCTATTCCAAGCTGCTCTGCTGAGCTGAGCAGACTGCCAATGTTGGAAACCTGTCAAAACTGTACCAATGGATTGCTTTTCTTTCCCCTTCACAATATGCTTTTGACCCATTTAAATCAAACTACAGCCAAGCTGCAGTAATTGGTTCTCCATAAGCCTACGTGAGGCAGGGAACAAATTATTTTTCATTTTGAAAGCAAGAAACGCCAAGAGGAACAGATGAGTGGGATTTCTAGGCAGCGCCTAGTGCATACAGCACTGAAGTGTATCCTCCCAGCTGAGAATTAAACAACACACTCACTCAGTCAAGACATGGGAACCTACTGCAAAAATCACCCACTCACAAATCGCCCCAGAGGATTTCCAAAAGTGAAGGCAGCCAAAGAAGGGTAAGGCCTGAAGGGGCTCTGTCCAAGCAGGTCACCAGTGCACCAGGAGGGGGAAGAACGCCTGGCTGCAGCTCCTGCAGCATCCAGGTACATCCAAATGCTTCCTCACGCACAGAGACAGGATGCCTTATCCAGGAGGCATCCTCCTGCATCCACCTTGCACCGGAGCAGCAGCTCTGCAGAGACTAACCACTGCCACACTGGTCAGCACAACTTGTGACAAGCCCTGCCCAATGGCTCATTCTGGTTCTCAGCAATGAAACACTGCGTGTTTGTTTGTGCATCGCTGCAATAATGGGATTTGCCCAGCTTGCCTTGAGCTTTGCCCTTCATGTTTCTGCGTCTATGACCTAATTAATGAGCACTTGAGTTTAAAGAGACATTAACTTTGCAAGCGTGACTGTTTACAAGTGTTCACCTGATTCCTTTGTCTCCCCATGAGCAGCACGCAGAGAACATACAACACCTCCAGCTTATACATAATCTCGTGCATGATCTTCATGGACTGTGGAAGCTGTGTTCGTGTTGAGGTGTTCGCCAATCCACTTTCATCCGAAGACTCTGAACAAGATGGCAAAGATGTAAGCCTGAGGCAGCTTCAACAGGAAAGGATTCGTTACAGTTATTACTGTTACACTGAAACACTGCAGATGTAAGACCAGCACGTCTGCTTGAATCTTTTTCTCAACTAAACATAGTGACATACAACAAATAACCAATATAAATTAAATGCTATGGAAGAGAAAAAATATAGCTGGAACTTTAGAGGAGATAAAATTACATTTTTAAAAATTATTTAATTTTTCCATAATAAGCTAAATGGCATCATCTACCTAAAATAAGTAAGATCACCTATATGAATTAATAGTCTCCTGAACCAGAAAGGACATGGCAGAAAAGGTAATAAAGTAAGGGTCTACTTTCATTTCATACCTGAGTACGAGTATACTTAGGCCACAGTTAAATAATTTTCATATTCCTATCTAGAATTACACTGCTAAGGGCAGAAATAGGATATAACATGCCACGATTGCAAGTGGAAAACATGACAGAAATCATGAGTGACACAGAGAAAGTAAATAAGGACATAGTGAAACTTGTAGATTGCAATTCAGAAAGGAGTTAGCTCTTTACACAATACATAACTAAGTGACAAACTGCCCTGCCACAGGGTAGTGTGAATGCTTTTTGAACCCATGTGAAGAAACAGTAACTAGGCAAACACACAAAGGAAGGAAACCATCAAAGGCTAAAAAGCACAGACACCACCTCTGACTCAGAAGTCCCTAAACCACAAGCCACTGGAGACTGAGACAGTGTTCTGGGAAAGTACATCTAGGTTTGCTTGCTAACTGATGTTGTGGGTCAAGAGCTGTGACTGGGCATGTTCCACCTCAGCAAAATTGCCTTGTGAATTCTGTTTCAAAACACCAAGTGTTCCCCAGTTTCCACCAAGTTGGTGTGTATAAAGGTATGTGCAAGATGCTGTGGAGCATTCACATACTTCATTTTTTGTGTATTTTCAGAAGTTTTAATAATTAATTGCTACAAAACTAATCAAGCTGGATAAGGAAGAAAGTTTTCCAAAGAAGCACAGAAGCAAAGATTTAGATATCAAAATTCTGGGATAATACTCATTCCGTTACCGAGTACTTTAAATTCTTCAAGACATACATTGCATTTTTGTAATATTGAAGGGCGAAAAAACAAACCAGGCGCTTGCTTCAAAGCATTTTCCTAAGGTTGTATTAACACTTCCCTATGCTCACCTGGAACAATTTTTTTTTTTCCAGTTAACTTACTTAATTCTGCTGGAACTACCTTTCCTTTTTAAAGAAGGGACCACTTGCCGGGTATGAAGTATTTGGACCTAAAGCCATCAGCCTAAGTTTTAGGAGCAAAACGCTGGTAAAGTCACTTACCTCAGATGTGTGTATTTTTGTCACTCCAAGGGATATTAGTGCTGAGGATGTACCGCGTTACAGTGTTATCTAGGTGTGCAAAGGGCACAGTTTGCCTTAGGACATTTCCTTTTGTTAACTTTAGTTCATGGAAGAAAAAAATCAGTGCTACACAAGAACAAAAGGGGAGCCAGACCTAAACGCTGACACGTCAGTCTTTCATGCAAGAAATGGGGAATCAATACTGCTTGAAAGGAAAAGCAACACATGGCAAACACTGAAGAAAGTTAAGATATGCATCAGCTAATGGTCGCTAGAGGAATGCAAGCCAGATACCTGTACTGCTCTGCTCTGCCTCTTCATTTGCCACTCTCATCAGTGCATCAAGTACTAGAGCATTGTCCAGCCAGGTGTACCATTCTTCCAACTCCTGGAGGAAGCTGGAAGTACCTGTTGTTTCAGACACCTTCCGTGTTGCCAGTTTGCACAATCGCTCAATGAAGCCTGGAATATTCAAAAGTGTGGCTGAAAAAGAAAAATAATTTTATTACGATTTAAGATCACCAACACAACACAAAGTACCAAAACATCTATATTAGTAATATAGAAGAGTACACAGAAACAAATTCCATCTGGTTAAAAAGATCCAAAGATGGAAGAAATCGGTGCACTCTCCTATTAAGGACTGGAAGAGAGTGTACATACCGTAGGCATAACTCAATCAGTGTTAAACTGGTTTGTGTTGGATTTACACTACAAAAAAATCAATTTTATCCTACTCTAACTGCTTGTTTCCAGCCAATTTCCTTTTGCTGGCACTGCTGTTTTCCAGTCCACGGTGAGTCAATATCAAGGAACTGATCTGGCTGAAAACTAAGCTGGCAGAAATAAAGCAGCAACCCTTGGAAGGGGCAGCTCCATGTCCCCCTTCCTCTGTGCAATGCCACCGCCTTCATTTTACCTCCTGTGGTGTTGTCTCAAAGCAAACTGAACTAGCTCACTTCAGTAGCTAGGCAGAAAGCTGTTGGCTTTTTAAGTACTAGTTTCCTGAATTAGTTCATTATGGAGCAAAACAGATGGGGAACACATGACAGCAGCCCCAAGTTAGAGGGTTTTAATTGTTGTGGAACTGCACCCTTAGAAATAGCAGTTCAGGAACAGAATTTGCTGGCCTGCAAAGTGCTTGGGGGGCTTGGGGAGGTGCTAGGAGCTGCATTTTATCCTAAAGGTTTCATAGAATAACTTAATTACAGGACCTGTTTATTACAGATACATGGCTAAGTCTTCACTACACACTTGCAGATGAAGCAGAAAAGGACAAAGAATTTGGCCATGAACACCATGTGAAAGAGTTGCGACATTCTGCCTGCTGGTACCATCTTTGAAAGAATAAGCTCCCTGATAAAGTTTTTAAAACAGAATATGCTTTACAGTCTTAGGTACAGTCTCTAAAAAATGATTAATTAAACATTTGCTTGGCTAAGGTCAGCTCTGTGGGATCCATGCTTATTCAGTTCAACTAATTTAACTTAAACTTTGTACCCACACCTACGCATACTTGTCCATTGCTCTTTACAAGCAAGCTCTGGTGATGACAGGGCAGAAGACAATACACCTCCCTTTAAAGTTTTGTGGTTTCTGCCTGCTGGATTATGCTATCCATCTCTCACTGGATGCTGTAGAGGTGGCAGTGGTTACAAATGGAGCTTTATTGTTCATGGCTAACATAAAATGTTAGAAGATTGAAGAACCAGATCCAAAACCCCTTTTTGCACTTCCCAACATTGTTTGGCATGGGTCTATGCAAACATCTGCTTCAGAAGCCTAAAAGCTTTTCAGCATAGTAAGAGCTGAAAACAGCAGATCCTATATTTGAGGGTACTTTAATTTAAATCTCTTAAATTCATACTCACCCTTCTAGGCAAGACTTCTGCATCTGAGAAGTACTCAGCAAAATAAGGAAACCTGCACTGTGCCCAAAGTTAAAGTTGAGATTAGACCGACAGATTTCCAAGGCTGGTGTGGTTAAGGGTGGGCAATGTGATTAATACTGAACACACTTTCCTTGCTGATAAAGACAGACATCCTGCTCAGGACAATGTCAGATAAAATCAGAGAAGGAACTGCTCCGACAGCAACCACGCTGCATGCAGTTTTAATTCAGGAATTTATATTTTAAGAAGGACACAGAATTACTGAGAGTTGTTGAAGGGAAGGCAATGGAAGTGACTGAGGGATAGAAAACAAGCCCAATTATTTTAAGCCACTCAGCTCAGGGAGAACAGAAATTTACTCACCTAATTATCAACACCGTATGAAACTGAAAGCTACAAAATAAGTTTCATTAACAGAAAGACTGTTTCCAGGAAACTGCTTGAGGAAAGCGAATAAAGAAAAATGCTTTGTAAGACAGAATGCTTACAGTACCCTCTAGAAATACACACTACAGATGTGACATTGAGAATAGGGAAACTTTACACACTGCTGATATTCTTCTGCGTTTGTTCACAACGTAACAATTACCTTGATTAATTTCTGCTCGAGAAGGACCCAAGTTTTTTTTCTGCTGGGCATTTTTGGCAAGAAGCGTGTGCTTGTCATCGCTTCCTGTGTCAAGTTCAGAAATTGTCACGGCAAGGATCCTGCAAAAGTTCGCAAGCTGCTGCTGATCAAAACTGGACACAAGGCTCGCAAGATTGGGAATATCATCCAGTTGTATCATTTCCTGGAGGAGGCAACATCAGCGTGAGTCACACATGATATTCAATAAGGGAACACAGACACAGCCAGAAGGCTTCAGCTACAGCTCTTGCCTGGCAAGATCTGTGTGTTATTTCAATGTTAGTAAAAGAGAAGCAAACCAGCAGTGGAAAGTGAAGAGCCTGAAAAAAAACCTGTGATTTACAACCGGTGTCACTCATGTTTATCAACTCCAGAAGTATAGATATCCATCTTTTAAACACTAAGTATTGAAGTCAAGTGTTGGGGGCTTTTTTTTTTTTTTAAAAAAAAAAAAAAACTAATTTAACAGGCAAATTGCATTTAGGTATTACAAAGCTTCAGTTCAGTTTTCCACTTCTCTCTGTATTCTCTTTGAAGCTCACAGATAAGAACTGATGCCTAGATTTTTTTCCCTCAGTCTTTTTCATCAAAAAGTATTAAAAAATATGTTGAAAACAGTTTTCAGCAAAAAAACCCATTTACATTCAGATAAACTAAGCTTGTTTCCTATCTCAGGAAGTACATCAACCTCAACTTTACTCTAAAAAAAAGCAGTAACAAGTTACAGAATCCTGACCCTCTCCACAAAATGTACATAGACACATTTCATTCAGGGTTCTCCCACCTCTAATATTTTATTTGCATCACATCAGGGCACTAAGCTGTAATGATGCTGGCAAGCAAGTTCAAAAACCTAGTTAGTGCAGCAGACCCAAGTGCCCTGTTCCCCCAGCCTACAACTTCTCAGAGAGGTGACAAACACCAAGGTAAGAGAGAAGCATGGGAAAAGCCTTCCAGATGTCAGGAAGACTACTAAAATATTTGAAGTGTAATCAGAAGGCAAGGATGAAAAATTAATTTATATGAGGTTCATTTGCTTTATTTGAAATACTGGTTGTACTTTAATCACAGCTAGGCACTCACCCCCCCATCATCCTCTGCAAACTATGCAACAGCATTACAAGCATGATACCACATGCATAATTTGGCTTCCGTATAAAATGTGACTGAAGTTAATGATCACTGTAAACAGTCAGGTTGCAAACAAGCTACAAGAAGTGAGAATGCTAGCTTAGAGGATTATCTTCAACTCTTCAAAGAAACAGCTATCTTTCCTCTACTGGCCTCAAAAGCCATACAAATGAAATTAAGAAACCAGTGACTAACCTTTTTAACTCCCAGGATATCTTCAATGAGCGTTGCAGTTTGTAGGAATGTCTTTTTGTTTGTCATCAGTGTAAACAGGAACAACACAAAGTCATTTCTTTCTGCCAATCGCCTTGTGACTCCTTCCGTCTAGAAAGCAGCAAGAAGCACACACCGACCCAGAGTCAGAGCCCACTTTGACAAGCCATATGTTACAGGCACATGCAGGACAGTTTTACAGGTGATGTGTTATCAAATCAGCTATTCCTGAAACCAGGAAACATTGTGTTTATGGTGACCAAAACTAGCTCCAGTCCTTGTTTGAAGTTAACATGACGCTTGCAAAAACGACAGGCTCCAGGATGTGAGGCTTCACCTCAAGGCAGCTGTTTACTTGCCTGAATCAAAAGTAAACACTGCATGCCTGGAAATACGTCAGAGAGGCTTGTCTCTGCTTTCCCACACAAATTGTAACCAACTCCATTTTATGGTATGTAAATGTAGTCCCCAGATTCCTCCTAACCTGTTAGCATTGCTCTCAGCTGGGCAGAGTCTGAGCAACCAGAATCAAACATTGGCCTTAATGAACTCAGCGATGAACCCAAAAGTCATGCTAAAGCATGAACTCGGGTTCATCACCGAGTTCATTAAGGCCAGCTTTCATGCTCTGATCATTAAAGACAGCTTTCATGCTCTGATTTCTGCTGAGAGCATGGCCAGTCTTTTCTGGAATTAAAAGTAACTTAAAACTACATCCTTACTGCTTGCAAAGCTGTCTATTATATATGACTGACACATTACCAGTGCTCACAGAATTAGACTAGCTCAGGTACTTCCTGAATATTTACACATAAGCATAAGAACAGTTAATATTGCACACACAACACTTCGTCATCCTGAACACTCCTCACTCAAGAGAGAGCAGTAATACCGAAGTGAATTAAAACAGCAGCTAGTCTATAAATTGCAAACTTATTTCTTAGCATATTACGCTATTCACAGTTTGCAAAAGTTGCATTACCTGTAGTTTAAAAAAAAAAAACACAACACAACAAAAAACCATGTTAAGTCAAGAAAAAAGTGTTCCCTCTCTTCGCCCTCCCATGTGTACACAGATACTTGGTAGTGAGAACATGATCTATTAAGACTCTCACTCTTGAGATTAGATTGATGTCTCTGGAACAGCTCCAAGCCAGTTGCTGCCTTTTAAAAATTTTTGTTAAACAATGCTCCCCAGGTTATGACATAACAAAATGTTGATTAAGTAAAGAATCCTGAGGATGTTCCCTGCATGCATGATCTGAGGCATGCACTTTTAGCTTCAGCATTTTAATGGCAAGGTATTTCAACAGGCCTTTAACCCAGCACCTTCCTTAGCGCTGATCTGCCATCAACTGAACTGAAATAATATTCAGCACATGAAGGAGTTACAGGATCAAACTTAAAACACTTTGCCAGCACCATTACTGAACAAGACTAGCTGTAGCTCAGGTTAGCAGGCATCCATTTCCAGTTTCAAATTTTAAGTTTGAATACAACAAAGGCTGCCACAGCTTTCATATGGAAACACAGATACAGAAAGATCCAAACAAGAGGATTTAAGCTTGACAATATTAAGAAAACAGGAATTGTTTGAGTAACACATCAAAATAGAGGGCGGTCCTATATTTAACTGAAGGAATTTTAATGAAAAGTTTCAGAGTAAGTTTAAATTATGCTTAAAAAAGTCTGTATGTTGTCTTATCAAGTGGCACATGTAAAACACAACCAGCAGAAGAACACTTTTCCACAGCAGTTGTACTTACACATATACACGTGTTGTACAGTATGCTTAAACAATCCTTGATGAGGTCATCGCTTACTGCAAAGGAGAAAACAGACATTCACTAGCTATATGTTGCCAAGGAACACTAACATCCACAGTAGTGACATGAATAGCTATAAAATGGGTGAGAATTTCAGGCTAACTGCTAGCTCAGATCACATGTGCACATGCCTTGGAGGACAGAAGACCAGAGGAAGAAACACTCCATACCCGACCTGTTCACATGCTTTCTTCCAAAACTGCTATCAGCACTGCCTAGGACCACAGACAGAGATGTACGTGTGGTCTAGTGCACTTCTTAGTCACACACAAAAGAAAACAATAGGGGTGTAAACAGTATTTTAGGAAAAATATCATAGATCAACTCAAAATCTGTCAGTATGAGAAACTGCTGAGACACATATTAACTCCAATTATTAAAGCATGGGGAAAAAAAAGGACAGTTCATGCAGTCTTCTCCAGGCAGAATCAGGAATTCATAGAAAAGCTTTCAATCCGATTTACTCCAGTATTTTAATATTTAAAATACGTTTCCAGTACAAACATACAACAGCTGCCTCTAGCTCAAGTTCAAGTTACTTCACCTTTGAAGTTCCCTAGCTGACGGGCATGGAGTGTAACTATGACATTTCCTTTCCTCAGAAGGGTTCAGAGAACCAGCAGAATCAGACAGGAGAAATAAAAACACTAAACTAAAGCTACTCCAGCAGAAAAGCTGTGCTGAAGCTACTGCACCCCATTGGCAAGTTCTTCTTACAGCAATTTGGAAATTAGTAGTCTCTGTGACTAGGTCAGGAAAACAGCATACTTTTCATTATCTCACAATCTCTGTAACTCCTATTACATAAACAATGTTTTGTGGCTTATTATTAATAATCGTTAACTGTAGCTATAGCCACAGTAACAATAAGTTTCCAGTGATTGCAGATTTACTGCATTGAGAGAAGTATGTTATGCTGAGTGCATGAAAACTCCTGAGCTGCGCTTTGCAACAGGTGACTATCCTAAATCCCATCATGAATCAGTACTACAGAGAACAAAGAAACCAGTGATTCATTTAGGAACAGGAAATTGCTGGTATGGAAAGAAAGAAACAGAAAAATAGCATAATTTCTGTCTGAATAAGAACACGAGGCAAGAATGAAAAAAAGATAAAACACCTATTTACTTACTTTTCTGTTTCTTTTTCTGTGTAATAAGAGTTGGTCTCATGAGAATTTCTACTAAAAGCTGTAACAAGAAGATAAAGAATTAAGGGAATAATCATTGGGATACAAATAACCAATTAATTTGTCAGTGACAAATCCAAACTTAGTCCTGTCTCTGCTGAAGTCACTGAGATGAATAATGGAAGCTCTACAATCAAAACCCCACTGGTATCAAAATTACATTGATAAAAAATAGTTGTATTTACCCTGAAGAAATAATAACAGTTGTATAAAACAATCTCCCACTGGCAAGTTTTAAAGAACTTGAGTTTGCAAAGAATGTAATTTCACACGCATCCAGATAATATCAAGGATGGCTATTACACATCTCCCAAAATAATGAATCTTTAGCAATAATCTGCAAAGAGATGCAAATTTTACAAAGGCTCTCCCTAAGTCTTCCTGGGCTTCAAAATACATTTCAGGTCCACACATAACAGAACTTAGTTGCTCCAGATTTTAATTTCACCAACAAAGAGCAAGCGACCTGCTTGTGTACATGCACCTTACACGTATACTTACACATACATTTACAGATATGTGAAGTGTTGTCTCATTTCTCTTTCAGGAATGTAACAGTCAGCTTTCCAAGACTAGGACTAGATGTTCAGATAGATGTAGAACTGGTCTTTAGTTGTTCTAGTCTATACCACTTGTTTATTTTAAAACATTTTAAAAAATAGCAGTTTATTTTAAAATGAGAGTTACCCACTAGAAGGAACTGATGACTTCTGCAAGAAGTATTGCAAAAAGCCCCTAGTTTTAAAATTCAGTTTAAAGTTGTTAAGAGCAATGCAGGCAGCACCCAGTCAAGTCATGCCAACTGACAATATACTTACACTTTACAACTTGCTCTGTCTATTTGTCCTAACTTAACTTTATCCTTCTTTTAATGAACTACCTACCCAGACACAGAGGAAAACATCTGACAGCACTGCCCACATTGTAAGCACTGACAAATAAACAGGCAACTTTAAAGAGGAATATACATTTTCCAGCAACATTTGTAATAGTAGCTGCAGCATCAGTAGGGTAGAGAAAAATGACTACAGCAGTAATGTAGTGCTCATATTAATGGCTTACGTTTTAGAAGAAGAATGCACACCTCAAGGTTCGGTACCCTAGATAAGCATCCAAAGATATCCCTATGCACTTGGGATGCAGGCCACCTGCTCTTCTCCTGGGAAGGAACACTGACTGCAACAAATCTATCTTTTAGGGGTGGCTGCAGTCATAATCGCTCCTGCCTCGCCACAGAGTGGACCTTTTCAGCTAGTGTTTATTTTTCCTGGTCAATACTATAACCCACCATGTATTTATCACCTTATTCTTGCAGAACTGGTATGCTCCTCACATACACTCCAGGGACTGGACTGCAGTGGTGTGAGACACTCCTTGGAGAGGGCTTTCTTCAGCCATCCTATTGAAACTGCAAGAGTATGCAGCAAGAAGCGCAAGAGTCCAATGGCAGAAAGAGAATAGGTAAGAGGGTGCCTCACCAGAGGCAGAAGGAGCAGAAAGGGAGTTACGAGATCTTATTTCTTGGAATAGGGTTGCATTCAGGTCCAAAGTCCACGAGGCTCATGTATCAGTTCACGTGTTTGTACTCTCGGGTAATATTTTACATGTATTCATATAAAGGGAGGAGACACAAATGTACTTTTGTTCTTTCTTGACGTAAAGGCTGTCAGAATCCAAAAATATTTTAAGGAATATACTATCACACATTATAGCGTACAGAGTACACTGCAAATTTAGAGTCCTTCAAAATTACTCAAGCTTCAGCGTTCGAAATGCTGCAACACGGAATCAGCACATGGCATACACAGAACCAGCAGATTAGACTACTTCCTTTTCAAGTCCTAGAGTAAGGTTTTCAAAAACACATCGCACTGGCTTCTACCACTGCCTTTAACCAGATTAAACCCACTTGTATCAGCCAAATCTCTGGTCACAGTACCAGGTAATTACAGTGTATCTGATATTTACCATCTCCAGCCCAAGGGGAAAAAAAAAAACAAAACACAAACAACCACAAACAAAAAACCCTAACACACACACACACACACACTCTCTTATTTAAATATGAAACATAAAGCCATTTTCTGTGCATTATTATGTTAAAAGCACTTCTACAGGAAGTATCACTATTTCCCTGTAAAAACAATGGAAATTTAGAACATTTTCATGCAACGTTCTAAATTGCTTGGGTAGCTAAAGACTTTTGTCTTCAGTTGACAGGATACCAGCAACTAAACCAGTGCTAATTTCAAAACAACATAACCTAAATACAAGTTTTAAGTAAAGGTACGCTAAGTGTAACAAGAGAGAAGTAGCAAAGACACCGTTTAGTTAGACCAAATTAAAAAAAAAAAGGG